ATATTCTTACCTTCAATTCTGCTTGCCTTTTTCACTTTTGTAATATCACCATCCTCCTTTTTTTTTTCTGGTACTGGGGATCAAACTCAGATCCTTGCGCTTTCCTTTTGAGGCAGGCAGCAGCACCACTGAGCTAAATCCCCAGCCCAGCAGCATCGTATTTCTACTGTGAATCTCCATATGTTAGGGTACAGGCTAAGCAACTTTACAAGACATTCAGAAGCACAGTGACTCAAGATAAAAAGTTACTTCTTTTCAGAAAGTAGGTTAGAGGTTACCAGGGGATAGAGCTAGGGGAACCTGAGGAGTTACTGGTAATGATTAGAGAGTTTCTCCTTGGGGTAATGAATAAGTTTTGGCTGGAAATATAGTGGTAATGGTTGTGCAACAATGTGAATATAATTAGTGCCACTGAATTTTATATTAATTTAGCCATTAGGTTATGTATTTTACTACAACTTTTTAAAAGATTTCTCTTAGAACTAGCACCTGAGAAATGAGTAGTTCTGAGCTGGAGGACAGCTCAGCCATCTTCAGTATGTGACTTCCAGGGTCACTGTTGTCATCTTCAGTTCACAGCTGTCAAGGCAAGCACCTGTAAAGAGATGACCTAAAAATTTTACTCGTCACTTTACTCATACTTCATTGTTCCACTAAGTGTCACATGGCTACAAATAGACACAAGAAAGTCTGGAAAAGGTAGCTAGGTAATCATGTGTCCTGCAAAATCTCAGAGTTCTATTACTAAAAGGAAGAATGGGAGAATAGGTATTGGGAGAAAATTGGCAGTCTAATGAGAAGATCTGATAAACTGAAAAAGATGAGAGAAAAATTCAAACTAGTTAATTTTAGAACTTGGAGAATGATTATGTATGCTCTTATCCATGTTTCCATTCTAATTTTAAAATATTATAGCCAAGTGTGGTGACATATGCCTGTAATCCCAGCACTTGGGAGCTGACACAGGAGAATTGCCAAGAGTTCCAGGCAGCCTGAATTACGTAGTGAGACCCTGTCTGAAAAAACAAAATTTATTTTGCCGGATGTGGTAGTACATATCTGTAATCCCAGTGCTCAGGATGGGGACTGCCACAAGTTTGAGGCCAGCCTAGGCTACATAGTGAGTTCAAGGTCAATCTGAACTTTGTAGTGAGACCCTGTTTCATTAATAATAAGTTACATAGCCTGGGATTTAACTGAGTAGTTCCACCGCCTGCCTCACAAGCTCAAGGACCCGAATTCGATCTCCGGTACCAAAAAAAAAGGCCAAATAATAAGTTACATAGTACTTGCTATTGTTTCAGGCATTTTTTTAGACTGTACATATATTCTCACTTGAATCTTCATAACAACCTTATGTAGATAATTAATGAAGTGAGATGAGAAAACAAAAGTGAGAGATGAGAAAGCTGAAGCTCAGAAAGCATAAGGGAAAGAGTAAGTGTGGGGCAGGAGGATCGCTGGGAGTTCAAGGCCAGCCTGGATTACATAGTGAGATCAAAACCAGCCTGAACTACCTAATGAGAGACCTGTCATAAAGGGAGATGAAGACCATCCTGAAATACATAGACCTGTCTCAAGGGGAAAAAAAGTAAACAGTAGAAATGTATTTTTTTCATAGTTTTAGAGGCTGAGAAGTCCAAAAGCAAAGCTCTGGCTTGCAGTGTCTGGAAGGGGCCTTCTTCTACATTCTCAATTGGAGGAAAGGGAGAAGGGTCTTCACATGGTGGAAGGGCAAGAGGGCCTAAGCTGCCTTGTTCCAGCCTTTCATAAGGACTTACCCATTTGTGAGGATAAGTCATGACTTAATCACTTAATCACTTCTCCAGTGGCTCTGTCTCTTAGTAGCACAATTCAGATGAAGTTCCTACCCTTGCATTTTAGGAAAGCATGCATACCGGAGAATGTGCCATCAAGCATATTTATACCATTCTGCAACCATCACCACCATCCAGCGACAGAACTTCTTCAGACTCCGTAACTGAAACTCTGTACTCCCTGACCTTTCTCCCCTGCCTGCAGCCCCTGACAACTATTCCAGTTTCTGTGTCACAGAGTTTGACTCTCAGGAACCTCATACAAGTGAAATCACACAGTATATCTTTTTGTGACTGGCATATTGTATTTAACATAATGTCTTAAAAGCTCATCGATATTGTGACATTTGTCTGTCAGAATGTCCTTTTCTAAGGCTGAAATATATATAGATAAATATAGATAAATAGCTGTGCTTTGGTTCACGAACTTAATTCTTTTCACAATTCTGATTGCAAACTGAACTGGACAAGGACTGAATCAAAGTTCTGCATAAGGTCACCATTGAATGTAACTATTAAATTTGATTTAGTTCTCATCCAATTTGGTTTGCAACCAGAATCGTTAAAAGTATTAAGTTCATGAACCTAGGTACCACTGTATCACATTTTCTCGATCTGTTCATGTGTCAAAAGACATTTGTGGGGGCCAGGAATTTAGCTCAGTGGCACCGCGCCTGCCTCACAAGTGTAAAGTTGTGAGTTCAATCCCCAGTACCAAAAAAAAGAAGACGTTTGTGTTGCTTCCATCTTTTGACTATTTTTAATAATGCTGCTATGAACATAAGTATACAAATTATCTCTTTGATTCTGTTTTCACTTCTCTTGGATATTTAGCCAGAAGTGAAGTTGTGGATGATATTGTAATTTCTATGTTCAGTTTTTTGAGCATCACCATATAATTTTCCACAGCAGCTGAACCATTTTACATTCTCCTCAGTACTGTACAAGGGTTCCAATTTCTTTATATCCCTGCCAACACATTATTTCCATATATATATATACACACGCACACGTGATTTCATATAGACATACATATATGCATATATATATACATACACAGTGGTACCTTGATTCACGAACATCATTATTATCAAAATGATGGTCACAAACTGAATTGGATGAGAACCAAATCAAATTCAATGGTAGGTTCGATGTTGACATTATGGGGAAATTTATACATATGTGGTTGTATGGTATTTTACCAAAAGAAAAAAAATATCAAAAAATTTAAGTACCAATATTGGGTGCAATAAGAATGTATGAGGATAACTATAGTCCTTAAAATGTACTCTGTTTATGGTACCTTGATGTTTATTAAGAAATTCGTAAGTGACCGGGGATTTAGCTCAGTGATTCCAGTGTCTGCCTTGCAAACGCAAAGTCCCGAGTTCGATCCCCAGTACCAAAAAAAAAAAGAAATTCATAGGTATCTCATGAGATTTAAATGTTACAAAGGTTTTCAGAAATAAAATTCTATCGTTTAAAAAAAACTCTTAACCTGAAATGAAACCAGCAGTTAAGATGGTCTAAAATATATTTGACAGTTTTGCCAGGCGTGGTGGTGCACACCTATAATCCTAGCACTTGGAAGGCTGAGGCAGGAGGATTGCTTCGAGTTTGAGGCCAGTGTGAGCTACATAGAGTTCAAGGGCAGCATGAACTACATAGTGAGACCCTGTCTCAAGAAACAAAAGAATTGAGTTTTATAAGCCTAGAAATGTAGTAACTCTTCGTTTAGTGTTTTGGGTCCAATTAACTGTTAACCTTTGTTTTATTGCTTATTACTAGGAAAACACGCTAATTCTGCAGCAGCTACTCCCACTGCGGGCCCAAGTGGCCAAACTACTGGGCTATAACACACATGCTGACTTTGTCCTTGAAATGAACACTGCAAAGAGCACAAGCCATGTGACTGCCTTTCTAGGTTAGTTATTCTTTTTTAAAAATCAATTGTATGGTTTCCATTTTTTCTCCCTCCTCCATGGCTATCTTGCTATATCATATCAACTTAATTGTTTATGTCACTATTATAGATCTCTCTTCATCTACCTTGTAGTATCTTGTTTGGGATGTTTATATTGATTCCTCACTTGACACCTGCAGTTCTAACCGTGTTAGCTCGTGGCCTTTATTTGCTGCCACTGGGGTTCAATAGTGATAGCGTGTCTACTTATGAATTTATATGAAATAAGCTGACATATATGATATAAATGAAAACAGAGCATATGTAAACAAAAAATACAGGGCCAAGATTTAGCTCAGTGGTGCTGACACCTGCCTCGTAAGTGCAAGGTCCTGAGTTCAATCCCTGGTACCAAAAAAAAAAAACACCACATACTGCAGATATATATGAAAGTAATTTAAAATAAGAAATATCAAAACTAATAACTAGATTGAATTCCTTTTTCATGAATAGTTTTAAAACCATGTGTCCATGACATCAAGTCATAGTTACTGTATTTTTTAATCCTCATTCCCCCTCTTAATCTGGTGGTCACTTTTCCAATAACTGACTGTTTTCTCTTTCATCACAGTGAAAATGGTTGAATAACTTAGCTATAGTAAATACACTCATTTTGTTATAATCATCTTTAATCAAGTTGGCCAAAGTATTATTTTTTTAACTTTTTTATTAATCCCTTTCAACCTTTACTCACATCTAACAACTTCTCAAAGTATTTGTTGCTTTGAACTGCAAGAGAAACCACCAACAGAGCTAAGAGACAACCTACAATGTGGGAAAAAATTTTTGGCAGCTGTACCTCAGACAAAGGTCTACTATCTAGAATATATAAAGAATTGAAAAACATCAGACCCCCCAAATTCAAAGACCCAGTTCACAAATGGGCATCTGAAATGAACAGAGGGCTAGGGATTTAGTTCAGTGGTTTCGCCAGCTGCTGAAATGAACGGACATTTCTCAGACAAAGAAGTAAAAGCAGCAAATAAATATATGAAAAAATGTTCACCATCACTGGTCATTCGAGAGATGCAGATGAAAACAACACTGAGATTCCAC